ACCGCCGCCCGCCGAGCCGCCCCTCCGCAAGGCCCGCCCGCCGGCCCCCTGCGAGCCGGGCTGCCAGTGCCGGGCGCCCATGGTGTCGGTCTCCAGCGAGCGCCACCCGCTGTACAACCGGGTCAAGACGGGCCAGATCGCCAACTGCGCCCTGCCCTGCCACAACCCCTACTTCAGCCCGGACGAGCGCGCCTTCACCGCCTTCTGGATCGGCCTGTGGTCCATCCTCTGCTTCATCTCCACCTTCGCCACCGTCTCCACCTTCCTCATCGACATGGAGCGCTTCAAGTACCCGGAGCGGCCCATCATCTTCCTGGCCGCCTGCTACCTCTTCGTCTCGCTGGGCTACTTGGTGCGCCTGGTGGCCGGCCACGAAAAGGTGGCTTGCAGCGGCGGGGCGGCGGCGTGGGGCGGCAGGGGGCGCTGGCGAGCTGCAGCCCGAGCTGGCCGTGGCAGAGCACGTGCGCTACGAGAGTACAGGCCCCGCCCTCTGCACTGTGGTCTTCCTGCTGGTGTACTTTTTTGGCATGGCCAGCTCCATCTGGTGGGTCATCCTCTCCCTCACTTGGTTCCTGGCAGCTGGCATGAAGTGGGGCAACGAGGCCATTGCGGGCTACGCGCAGTACTTCCACTTGGCGGCTTGGCTGCTGCCCAGCGTCAAGTCCATTGCTGTGCTGGCGCTCAGTTCTGTGGATGGGGATCCCGTGGCGGGCATCTGCTATGTGGGCAACCAGAGCCTGGAGAACCAGCGTGGCTTCGTGCTGGCCCCCTTGCTCATCTACTTGGCCATCGGCTCCATGTTTCTGCTGGCCGGGTTCGTGTCAAAAAAGCTCTTCCGCATCCGGAGCGTCATCAAGCAGCAAGGGGGCCCGACCAAGACGCACAAGCTGGAGAAGCTCATGATCCGCCTGGGCCTCTTCACGGTGCTCTACACGGTGCCTGCCGCCAGCGTGGTGGCCTGCCTCTTCTACGAACAGCACAACCGCCCCCGCTGGGAGGCCACCCACAACTGCCCCTGCCTCCGGGACCAGCAGCCTGACCAGGCCCGCCGCCCGGACTACGCGGTCTTTATGCTCAAGTACTTTATGTGCCTCGTGGTGGGCATCACTTCTGGAGTGTGGGTCTGGTCTGGGAAGACTCTTGAGTCCTGGAAGGCCCTCTGCACCCGCTGCTGCTGGGCCAGCAAAGGGACTGCGGCGGCTGCGGCCGGGAGCCTGGGAGCGGTTGGCGGTGGCGGAGGGGGCCTGGTGACTGCAGCTGCCGTGGGAGGACTGGGCGGTGGAGGGGGGTCCATGTACAGTGACGTGAGCACGGGCTTGACGTGGAGGTCGGGTACTGCCAGCTCTGTTTCGTACCCCAAACAGATGCCCTTGTCCCAGGTGTAAAGGAGAAAGGCCTGGATTGCCGGGGAGGAGGAGGAGGGGGATGCAGCTAACTGGACCACCCCTCCCCCTTCACTAATGAACTTCCTAATGGCCTTCCCGTGGGCAGAACAAAGCAGCTGCTGGAGGCCCCCAGTGCCCAGCTCCCTTTCAGGCCTTTCGTCTGTGTGCGGGGAGAGCCAGCCAGCCGCTTACTTCAAGGCACCAGCTCACTCTGTGGAGAGAATGGGAAGTCTTTACATACAAGAACTTTTCTAAGCCTCTCCTTGGGCTAGCCAGAGACGCCCCCCAGCGCATGCCTGTGCACACACCCTTTTTGAACCGGGGCATCTCCGTGTGCTCCCCCCCCCCTTCTTCAGAACCGGCTTGGAAATAGCTGCCTGATAGGACTGCAGGGCTGGGAAGAGTTTTAAACTTAAAAAACAAACAAACTGGCAGATGCCTTAAACACAATCAAACCTATGTCTTAATTATATACCCCAAATAAATACGGGTTTCTTATGTTAAAGGATGTATTTATATAATTATTTGGTACCTTGTACAAAACGTGTAAGATATGTATATATCCAAATGCTATACAGTCTGTACATTTTTTTTGTAAAGAAAAGAGTTTAGAGGCTTACCCCCTCCACACGCACACGCGCCCTCCCTTCTCGCCCAAGAGCAAATATTTGAATATTCTATTTTGTCAATAAAATAATGATAAATGATTATGTTTTGGAAGGGGTACCACCAACCCCCCTCTTGCTGCCCTGCTTATTCTGTGGCTTGATTCCTGAAGTTTGAGGTGTGATCTTAGAATACAGCTTTTAAGTCCTGGGAAATGTCTGAGAAACTAGAACTGGGGGTACAGAGCATGCCTTCAGATTTGGACTGCAGTGTTGTGGCAAGTGAGACAAGGCTTGAAAGAGCTGGACTGGTCTGGGGTGGGGGGACAGACTGACCGACAGTGCCATCCTAAGGAGAGTTAACAGGTTTCTAAAATCACTTGAAGTTTGGAAGAGTGTCACTCTTGTTTAGGACCACACTGTGAAGCGGTTTGCCACTAGCAAACCCAAGAGGCTTCAGGTTTGCTTAGAATAGGCCCACTTAAAAACCCTTGAGAACTACAGGAGTGATGGGTGGTGACGGAGTCTGGCCTTGGGCTGTGATTTTAATAGGCGTGAAGCTCGACTCCTCCAATCCCTGAGTTGCTGTAGATCATTATTACATTAGTTCTTTAAAAAAATGTTGCCATTCCAAGGGTACTATCCAGAAATATGTACACTTGAATGGGACTCCTTTGGAGCAAGTGCTCTGTAGCCTTAACGTGGTACCACTGTATCTCTTCAGCTCATTGCTGGGTAATAAGCGAAACAAAACAAGGATTGGGCATTAATCTCCCACATGCTTTATTATGACTCCTGCCAAATGAATGTTACTTTAGGAATGCGGCTACGTTTCCCGTGGGTTGTCTATGCTTGTTTTGGTAAGCACCTGCTGTTTCAGCAGGCGGGGGGGGGAGTTAAAAAGTTGTTTTTACGATAAGAAAGTAAAGATGAGAGTTGTCAGAAGCTCTTTTTAAAAAATGGATTTAGGGATAGTGTGATGTTAACCTTTCATACTTCTGTACATCAAATATCTCCCCTTCTGGGGGAAGAGATTGTCCTTCTGTCAAGGCTAAAGCTAATTGATTTGGAGTAGAAGGCGGTAAGAATTAACAGAATTGCTTTCGAAAGGGATTGAACTTTTTACCTGTCTACCCCAAATAGGCTCAGAACATCTTTCCTTTTTTAAGGGGAACTAAATGAATAGGGTTAATCTGTAGGGATCTCGGTTCCTTTTGAGTCTGGCAAAAACTTTGATCTTTTCTCTTCTCTAAATGTGTATAGTCTGTATAGGGGTTTTTTTGAGAGAGAGAAAATCTCCTCATGCCCAGTTTCTCTTGTTGCAGGCCAATTGGCCACTGTGGAGCCTCAAAGTTCTTCAATTAAAAGAATGTGGGACTTTTTTTTTTAAAAAAAAGAGGGAGACTTGTAACAGTTAGTGAACACCAGAGGAAAAGGGGGGACCAGTCTTTTAAACAGCTTTTCCTGGCATTGTTAGCCAGACCGCGGGCAGTAAGGCCCAAGGTTAGAGTATTATAGTGAGGGGGACAAAAAAGGCCCATGAATACTCTACAGGTGGTCTACTTACAATTGCCCCAATTTAAAGCATTTCTCTTTGTGGAACAATTGTATTCCTAAACTCTTCTCTTGGGCAGCTAATTGAACCAAAGAACATCTATTATGAACCAGAAGTTGTCTGGTTTGGGGGTTTGCTTTGTATTTTTTCCCCCTAAGGTTTCACTGCTTAGAATCTTGGCACTGTCCTGAGTTTTTAAAATCAAGGTTTCAGAGTACGAAAAACTCTGTGAGAGTTTTTGTGCCTACAACTTCTGTTGAGACTATGGATAACTTTTTTAAAAAAATTAAACTGAATTATTTAGCAGTGAAGAACCTCTTGGTAGTCACTGTTTTGTTTAATAACTGAGCTATTCAGCAGCTATGGTAGAGGTGATGGGGAAACTCTATACAAAATGAGGGGAAATGGAGAAATCTATCCAGATTTCTAGCATCTGCTGTCCCTGGTGGAGGCAGAACCCCCCACCCCAGTTTAGAATTTAAGATATGTAGCTCTGATAATGTTAAATTAGGCATACGTAAAGTGTATTTTAATATAAAGTTTCAGTACATGAACAACTGACTGGGTACCATAGTCTCCCCTCAACAAGTCACAAGCAATAGGATTTTAAAAACTGAGGTTGAGAGAGGATCGGGGGGGGGGCTGGTCCCCCGGACAATGCGGTATTCTGTCCAGCTCTGAAACAGATGGATTCTCTCTTGCCTGAGAAGCGTAAAGGGGAAAACTCCAGTTGAAAAGTGAGTTCCCTTTTGTGTTTTTCTCCAAGAGTTTGTTGGCTTGAGTGTGATTTCAGCTGCTGAAGCAGGACACAACCTGCTGAGGTAAAATAGCCTAGTCAGCAAAAAAAGGGGGGGAGTTGGAGGGGGCGGGGGAGTGAAAGCCGTTGCTTTGACTTGTCAAGGCAGTGGGTAGCTTAGGCTGTGTGTTTTCTAGCAATTAAAAGCACTTAGCAAAACCCTCCGTTCTCTTCAAGGTGAATGGTTCCTGTGTGTCATATCGACGTCCTGTGGGGCTGAGAAAGAAAGAGTCACTTCAGTGCTGCAGAAACCTTTTTTAACACCACAGAAACAAATCTCATGATTCTGCTTGGAGAAATTCAGAAACGTTAAAACTTGTTACCCTATTATACTCAGGTCATTCCTCAGATATGTTTAGTAGAGATTTCATTCTCAGCTCAATGTACTGATGTCAAAGACAGGGGACTCTACCTGATTTTTGCAGAATGTGTTTCAGTTTAACAGCTATGTCACATGTAACCTTTTGCAGGCAAGATAAATGTTTAACAGTGTGCATCTGCAACAGAAAACCAGGTCCCATTATAACCCTAATGGTGCATTCCTAAAGAAAGTTATACCCCTTTCTAAGTCCACTGAAGAAGTCAATGGGCTTACACTGGCTATGGTCACACACACTAAATAATACACTTTCAGTGCACTTTGCAACTGGGATTTTGTTGTGTGAACTGGCAAAATCCAGTTGGAAAGTGCATTGAAAGTGGATTATTCAGCGTGGGTGACCGCAGCCTCTGTTTAGGATTGCTGTGCAATTGTGGGAAAGGTTCCTATTGGTCCAGTATGCATATAGTGGAAAAATAGATCTTGTATGCAAAAAAAGACACACGTGAAATGCCTGAAATTGTTGCTTACGGTTATATACACAGCATCCCTGCATAGTGTTAAGTTCCACAGTGGCAAAACAACGTACCTGCATAGTGTTAAGTTCCACAGTGGCAACTATGCAGTAATACAACATGTGAAATCACCTTTACTGGTGAGGCTGGGGTTATGGGTGAGTTAAGAGCCCTCATAGATAATTGCAAAACTGTTTTTCTTCCCTCCAGGAAGCAGATGGGGCTACACGACAATACATAAGAACCAACTACAGCTGTTTTGGGCAAGTTCATGGGGTAGCTGGGGCTGTTTGGTGCCAGATACGTTTCCATTCCTTTATCCAGAAATCTAAGGAAATTCATGGCAGTGTTGGGGAAGTCATCTCAGATTGTATCAAGGGAATTTAGGGGGGGGGTCACATTAAATCCCCCACAAAACAGGTTATTTGAAATCAGACTTCACAACCCAGTTCCTTTCCACATCTGTCATTTTGCAACAGGAAAATGTTTCTGCCTGTGTTGTTTGAAGTATTTAAATTACACTTTAGTGACAAGTTGCACTTAAAAATTAACGGGAATTTCAGAACAGAAAGATAACAAAAAGTTACAAAAGTGGGGGGAGGTTGGAAATCCTATCATTAAGAAGAGTTAGCTAGCAGTGCCATCCCCTGGCCAAACAGGAAATTAAACGCTACAAGCTAAAGCTAAATTAAGAAAACTTTGGCTTACTAAATTTCATGCAGCGGTGAACTCAGCCAAGTATATCAGTTGTCAGATATAGTTATTCTACATGTATATATTTTGCTGTGTACGTGCACGTGTCGCAAAGCTGTACCCAATTTTGGTTTCCCTGTATGTATGTATAGCAAAACCTGTGAATTGCTGGACCTTGTATGACAATCAACATGCAGGATTTCCTGTACAAAGTGGATTTTGTCATGTTTGAACCAACTGTTAGTCTGTAAAATTAAAAAGCAGTGCCTTAAACACCAATGCAATTTATTCCAGCGTAAATCTTGGTGAGTCATAGTTCACTTCATCCGATGGATGAGATTTAAATCTATCGGGATGATTTATAGATATAATAACAAAAAGGAGGGTGTCTGTTGTGTATATAAATCAACCCAATGGATTTAAACCTTCTGCATTGGATGAAGTGAACTCTGACTCACCAAGACATGCTGGAATAAACTGCATTGGTCTTTAAAGGGTCATGGGATTCCTGTTTAATTTGGCTGCAACAGAGTGACATGGCTATCCCTCCAGAATCCTTAGTAAGATACCAAAATAATCAATTTTCTATCTGTTTCCTTTCTCTCCAAAGTAGGTTAATCCAGCTATTGTCAATCAGTGGTACCACATTTTGGATTTTAAAATGTTTATATAGTTCAAATACTTTATTATGCTTGTAGATTCTGGTGGGGTAGCCATGCTGGTCTGAAGCAGTGGAACAAAGTTTTAGTTCCAGTGGCACCTTTAAGACCAACAAAGTTTTATTCAAGTTATAAGCTTTCATTTGCAAACACACTTCCTCAGATGCTGATGCACACGAAACCTTGTACCTTGAATAAAACTTTGTTGGTCTTAAAGGTGCCCCACTGGACTCAAACTTTAATATGCTTGTAGTATCAAGAGTGGCCAAAGCCACAGGGAATCTTTGTGGGAAGGGCTATTTCAGGATACGGTAAAATATAATGAAAAAAGTTGGATTTTCTCTCCCTGCCAGTGCTGAGAGGTATGCACAATCTCTGTAGGTGTTTACCTGCACTTGTAACTAGTTGCGGTAGTAAGAGCCACAACCAGATGATGGAATCTTTTCCTGCATTAAAAAGACATGGACCGTTTTTAGGGCCGCAGCTGCCTTAGCTGAAATGGATACATTCATATCGTTACTACAAAACACGGTAAGGGGAACGATCATCTTCAAAATGCTACTGCATAATTAAACAGAACGATGCACAAT